AATTTTTGTTTTTTATCAGGGAGGGGAGTCTCGTGGTATTAAAAATAAAATTATTTGTTATTTAATTTTTAAGATAAAATTCTATTTCTATAACGATAAATATTTGATTGACATTTAGAAGCTATTTTATAAAGATTTTCAATTTCTCTTTGCGTAAGCTTTGATTTTTTGGATAGAATAAAATGGAGGGCAGCCTACTCAACTCGGTCGAGTTTTGCTGAGCAAATTCCTCCCGTCGGGGGGCTATGTTTAAAACATAAGCTTGTCCGCTTTGCGCTGATTGGCTAGTCGCATTTTCTCAAATCACCCAGTAAGGTCTGTTAGGTTATCTTATTTATGAAAAATCAATCATAAAACGAAACGTACTAATGGAAATCTAAATTCAAAGACCCGTTGATGTGGGATTAATGAAATTGACCAAGATATGAATTTTGTTTTCAACTATTGATTTTTTTCAATTTTATCACATAAATTGAAGATGTAGAAGCTGAAAAACAGCTTGTTGATGTATTAGAATTTCTTCACAAGTCCACATCAAAGTCGTTTTTGACCATAAAAACGTTACATAAGCCTTTTTTGGACCTTGAAAACCTTTCCCAGCAACAAATTCATACAAGAATAGTTATTTAGCATAACAGACCCCGTCAGCTCCTCCTGAAAGTTTTTGTCTTTACACTTAGGTCCAGATGAGTAAACCACCTCTTGCATCTGGGTGGGGGTTGGGGGGAGACATTGCTATTTCATTATGACGTCATAATATGTTTACCTCGGGGAAAGATGCACGCTCAAACACAGTGGTAATTCGGACCCATCTAGATTTTCTCCGAAAGTAGAACAGCCAGTGAATCGTGTTTTGATATATGCCATGTATCAAATATTGCTGACGTTCATTATATTTGATATGCAGTATAAATCTTATGCCCTCTGGCGACTATAAACCTTTGCGTTAAGACAATAGATTTTTTTGATGTGACTTCATAATGAAATAGAAACGAGGAACTGAACTGAAATGTGAGTGTGTCCATGCATGATTCTGACCTTAACATCCACTGRCCAGCGACGAGGTCAAGGTTATGAGAAACATAGACACGCAATTGCTKCTGGCTAGCTGACTGTTTGCACCACTTTACAACAGTAGACATTTATACCCATTAAAAAAATCACAATAAAAATGACCGAATTTTTCGATCCGCAAAACCCCATGTTCCCCTCGACCAGCTATGTCAAGTTTAATACTTAAATGTATTATTATTATTATATGACATATATAAGTTGCAAATGTTTATTGAGGAGTACTTTGAAGTACTTTTGTTTACTCAGCTGATGTATAAGAAAATGGCATAAGCACAAGAGTGGATCCTTTCAGCTCTTTCAGTTTTAGCATTTTTACCCACAAAGAATAAGTACAATGAAGTAGGATGTGTTGGTATCCTGTTTTTTCACATCAATGCGCAAAAAGAAGAATAGAAGGCCTTTTCGCGGTTAGAAAACAAGTTGCGCGAGGAGCCTGTGGTTTTGCATCAAAGCGAAGTAAAATCGGGCAACAACCCAAAAAGTTGCCATCTTTGAGCTTGTTTATCCTTTTGCAATGCCAGGAAAATAATTTTTGATGGGTGAAAAAAGTCATAACTTTGATGTTACTGGCACTTTTGTTCATTTGAGGGCTGCAGCAAACATGTTGCTTTGGTTTTAACCGCGAAAAGATCATCTATTGTTTCTCCGGAGCCTCGTCTTCAATTCTTTTTTTAATCGTCAGACAACCAAAACATCGACAGTGTCTATTTTGTGACTTGGTACAGTGAAGATTTCATTTGGCGTGAGGATTTGGGTCAACGCTTTAACAATGTAAGTATAAAGCAATTTCTATTTCTTACTTTGTTATCAAATTCAATTTGGCTAAACACAATGGAAAATTATTGCCGTGACCGAATCTATATACAAGCAAGAGACTTTTAACTTCGATATTTTTTTTCAATAAATATATATTCGATCTTTTAATCGTATGAGGAAGTAGCTGATCCCATTATTCGATCTTTTATCTTTATAAGTTATTAGCAAAATATGCCTCTTTAGCTTATTTTGGAATTTTAATAAGCAATATAAAATATTCGCGACCTTTATGGGCTTTAAAAAACTGCTTACTTGCAKCTCGCAGCATTTTTAAATCCCGTAAAGATCTCCCGCTCGTATATATTAAATTTCATAATCGAAGTTCGAAAGTTTTCAATGTATAGTTGCAATCAATGATTGCCACTGAAGACATATCATATACAGGTCCGTGTCCTCAACATCTTTACTGGCCGTATCGTTAATCCTGTACTATCAAGCCATCTTTGTCCTTGCCGTTCAAGATGACATCTGTAGACCATTCAACAAGTCATCTGGGTTGGCAGAACTATGTGGATACAAAAATACGGCGAAATTCGCCGACATGAGCAAGGAATTCACGTTCGCTCGCTACTACAGTGAAAACTTTGGCAACTGCACCAAAACCATCAGACAAGTGCTGTGCTCCACAAGATTTCCTCGATGCGAACCGGATGTCAAAGGTCCATTCTTGCCTTGCAAGAGGGTTCTTSTRGATACTCTCTCAAGATGCGGAGAGGAGATGCGAAAATCCTTTCTTGACCAGTATTCTTGGTTTATGTGGCAAGCAAACCTTCTGCCCGAGAAGAACGATCCGACTGCGTCGAACTTCAAGAAACGATGTTTTGAGCCGCCAAACTTCAAAACAGATGTTAGTGAAGGTAAAAAATAAATTAAATAATAAATTAGATAATAAATCATCAATGCCAACGAGCCGGTTGTGCAGACATAATCCATGTGGGATAAGTCTCGTAGACGCATGCTTAAAATGTCCTTAACACTCGAGTAAGGTATGTTTCTGTTATTCAGATGATTTGGAGCCCAAGTGTTTTCCTCTTGTTGTCTCTCAGTGTCAAAATTATGGCTACAAGTTTACAATACTTCCTGAAGAGAGGCAAAAATATTTGGCAACCTTCATGCTAACGAACGCAACAATRCAACCAATGGCGGAGTGTCAAAAGATAATATCTAAGATGACTTGTCAAAATAATTTCCCACCTTGCTACAGCGACAGCAAGTACATGGGAGTCGCCTGCAGAGACGTGTGCCAGGAATACTTCAAGAAACTGCTCTTCCCCGGAACTGCTTATTACGAAAGACGATTGCGTCTTGAATCCTACAGGCCCGAAGTCTGGTGGCCATTGCAAAATGACTGAATGGATATATGCCGATATATGGCCGGGAGCATTATTAAAGCATGACAAAAGTAAGATAATGATGATGATAACGATTTAGAACTGAACATCCGTGAAATCGAAGGCTGTAAGGATTTTTTGCACTCTCTCATCCTTTGMTTCGCAGTGTTTTTGTCGTACCTTCTGATAATTTCACGGATTTTGTGATTTCATAAGCGTGTGAATGTGTGGATTAGAGCCAGATGGGGGTATTTCCCCTTTCTTTCCAACCATGCATTCTAATTAAACATAAACCACAAAGACAAATAATGGCTAATACGACAAAATAACATCGACCAATAAAGCTGAATCCATCTTTACGGGACAAACAGCCATGGTTTGACGCGACGATTCAAGCCGTGCCACTATTAGGATACAATGCTTTGAGCGAAACGTGCCAAATAGCTGACAATGTAAAAAACATACCAAGATAACAATTTTTTCTGCATGAATATAATGAACAAGTCTTCTTTTTCGCTTTAATGAAGGGAGAAGCGACGGCGTTACTATTATTCTAACATGCTCCGGCTCTTTCTTTGTCACGCCCTGCATCTCATATTGGTACTATTTATAATAGCGTTGGGATTTCTGTGTCATCACCCACATCCATGGAGTTTTGTTATAGTTTTAATACATTCTTGAAAATAGGGTTTGCCTGTTTTCTTTCAGGTCCCTCTGTCAAGCAAAAAGCAAGTAGTGTGCAGACCAGTAGTGCAATGCTGATTGGTTTTGCAGTGAAGCTCTATTTGGAACTCTAACTAACGTACTAACTCCCAGCCTGCGTGCCGCAGCCGAACTAAAACTGTTTTGGTTCGGCTGCAGGCAGGCTAACTAAATTCCCATCCTCTAGCCTTTCTATCTAAAAAYACACAGTACTAAGTTCTTACCTAGAAGTAGCGCTCACATTGTGTTATAAGTTGTTATATTATATTGTGATGTTATATCCTTTCTTTTTGGCAATGAGGCTAATAACATTAATTAAATTCTTTGTGAAATTACAGTATGTACGTAAGTTTCCACTCCAGATATYAAATGAAACTTTAACTAGTTTTTATTAGCACATGATTAGTTGGTAAGTTGTTGAGCAACCTCTGCATACATCTCTTTTCCCTCTACGGACTAGTAAAGAAGCTTGGGTTCACCAAATAAAAATGACTGCTCGCCAACATGGTTGGCTTCATTGCAGTCAGTTGGTAGAGCACTGCACCGGCATGGTTTCGCTTCCGTTGAAGCCTGAAATGTTTTCGGGCGATCTATACATTTATTAATTATCACAAATCATTTCACATTTATTCACCGCAATTCGAACCATTACATCATTCCTGATATACAGGGAATCCAAAATTTATCAAAAACTGGAATAGCATGATGCCCAATGAGAAGGCTAGATAATGACTGTATTTTTTACAACTAGAAAAAGGCATAAAAGAAGAGGCTACTTAGAGTACCATTGGATAGAAGTAAGATTGTTTACTCTTGTTCTTTTTAGAGGGTCTCAATGTGGGGGTACGCATCACGACTCACAGCTAAAAATTTGGCTTTTTCACAACTCACGACTAATTTTTTCGAATCACGGTTAACTAGATCACTTTCGGAATTTATTTTTCCTGCAGCTATTTCCGCATATAGCAGACAAATGCATGTTCAGAAGTTAAATAATCCAGAATCCATCTAAATGAAGAAGTATGAATATCACTTCAAAAAAGGCGCAGTTATAGTTTTATACTGAATATGAAGCATTCGTTCAGCAAGTTTTTCCTCATTTTTACCAAAGCAATTAGATTTACGCAATGTGAATGAACTGAGGCAAATTAAAAATCACTTTTTTCTGCATTACGAACTGTTCTTAGGTGACTTAATTAAACTAACTTGTCTATCCAATGTGCAGTGTGCCTTGTTTTGAATTTCTATTCTATTTTTTGAACAAAATGACTTCACATCAAAGCATTCCTTTAACACTAAGGATTTTGGTTACAAATGGGAGACAGAATGATCTGTCTGACGAAGAAAAGTAGTACCAATGAGGCTACTGCTAGCTATGAGTAGAGAGTAGCTTAATTCTGAAGACAACAAGAAGAAAAGCGTCTCAGCTCTACACGATTAATGAGAACTGAGCGAGAGTGTAGAGGACGCTAATTTGAAGAATGTTGCAGCGTTTAAAAGTTCCAGGACTGAAATGTTGTTACATAATGCACTACCAATTTGTCATTATGAAGGATTGATATATTTGTGATCAATTATTTTTCCACTTTTAAACTAATCAATGAGGCCGTACAGCAAGTATATATTCTATCATTTTACTAAGAACGCTTAATGACAATTTCTTGACCCATGATAAAAAGGACCATTCACAAAAAAATTGTATGTAATGGGGTAAAAGATAAGAAAGTACTGGGGTCCCTGAAAAAATGAAGCTGYAAAATAGGGGGTGTTCTGAAGAAAATAATCTTAAATAAACCTTCAATAATAATTCAAAGATTTGGAAGAGAAATAAGGATAATTATTTAATGGAGAGCTATCCATAAATTTTCAGAATCACTTCTTAATAACAYAATTGATATACTGACGAAGTTTYAATAAAAAGTCTTAACCTAAAATTTCGAGTTGTTCGAATGTAYATCATTTTGCTCAATCAACTCGAAATTTTAGGTTAAGATTTTATTGAAACTTCGTCAGTATATCATTTTATGTTTTAAGAAATGATTCTGAAAATTTATGGATTTTATTACAATCTCTGCGATGAGTTTCGAGAAAATTAATTTTGAAGAAAAATGAAGGTGTTTTTATTTTGCATCRTTTATCCAAATGGCTTCGCTTTTTGGCAAATTAATTTATCAACAAGAATTATCGATAATCACTGTGACTTCTGTGAAAGTTTGAGTGCAATTGCCATCGAAATTTGCGACGTAGTTGCAGTTTAAAAATACGCGTGAAACGCTATTTATTACGATCGAAACACCTTAATCGATGTTAAGAAAAGAAAGAAAATGTATCAAAATCATTTCTTCGATAAATATAAAATGTGTCATTTATTTGTAAAACTTGTCTAAAATGATTTGAAATAAGAAATCGTTACCTTTTACATGATCTATGCACGCTAAAATGCAGCACTCTACGACCACCAAATAATGTGATAAAATGGATTCTTTAACTTGCCAATTGGAGGGTACTTTCTAATGTTACTTGTAAAATAACGAGAAAGATATTCCTTCATGTCAATCTTACGCAGCTTTTTTTCACTGACTGACGCGGAACTTCTCTCCAAGCTTATYATACGACTATTACAACTGATAAGAAACACAGTGTAAAGCTGTAAAACACTAGTGATATTCCGTCGACAGTGTGAATCAGAAAGGTACCGTGYCATAAACCGTTTAACCGACGTCTTTCCCAATAAACGCGCAGTYCTAGGATTAATCTTTCTTATAGTGAGATTGCGGTTTTAAAATAAATACATTTCTTGAAATTTTCTTTCCATATCAGTAATGAACCTTACACAATTTTAGATAATACCTTTTTAACACATATTTTAATATTTTTATTGATATCATATATCATATATTACATACATAAGAAAAAAATGAAACGACTAAAGATTTGGCATCATTTACTACTATATASTTTCGTACCGCACAAAGAATTGTGCGGCACTCATCAGGTAAGTAGCCAAATTTAAAATGATTTACAACGGTTAATRGWTATATGATATAGGCGAATTTACAATGATATAGCGTGACATGGTAATTAACTGATTGATAAAGATCTAAAGTTCTTTAGAAGGTATTTGCCAGCGTGTCTACATGATGTTACAAGTTCGTTTCTTTTGTTAAGTGTAGAGAGGTGCGGTTTACATATTATATAGTATTTTTCCCATAGACATAAGTTGCAGCGTTATGTTGATTAGATGATCACTAACAATTTGACTTTATTATATAACGTTTTTCTAAAACCTGCTTTCTGTACAGCAGTTTATCACCTGTGATGGGTGCCCCCCCCCCCCAAAAAAAAAAATGCTGTAGGCATTTGACATATAATTAGTGAAGTCTCTTAAGATAACACGTTTTGGGGCTAAGAATAATACATTACCATGCACACCTGGGAATCCTTTGGTATATTTAAAAAAAATATTTTTG